TTTATAAATCCAAATCAGATGACACCCGTTTTATCAAATTATACTCAAAAAAAAAAAAGAAAAAAAGAAAAGAGAGACTAACTAAAGAGCAACAACTTCTTAATTAAAACTATTTGAAAACGTTGGATAAGTACTTAGGACTAGTCAAATGTTTAAGGGGGATTAATTGCACGTTTAATTCATTTTATCTATGTTTTAAATTGCATTGACGTTGGCCTTTCAAACTTTTAAATTAAACTGCCGCAGACCTATCATATAGGTAATGCTCCACATGCTAATTTTAAGACATTTTAAATGACGTATTTTCATATATTAATTAACTAGTATCTTCACCCTTGCGTTACACGAAATGAATCTGTTATAATATTTTAAGAATATTTGGATTGATATTTAAAAAAATATAAATTATAACAATAAATAATATTATATAGTGCAATTGGTAAAATGAGTTGGATAAATTATATTTTCTGATGTTATCCTTGCTTCATTTTGATTCATACAATTAAAATTGATAAACTTATTTGACAAATAGGTCTAACATTTCTCATCCACAACTTAAATAATGCAAATGTTCAATAATTTGTCTCAATATTTTCATAAATATATTATTAATACTACTGAATAGCATGAACTTTTTAATAGTTATTATATTAAACACCATGAGCTGTTCTTTTAAAGACATATATTAATTAATTCGTGAATAGTGAATGTCGACAAGCCTATATAAAACACATTGTTTAATACTCGTACTTTGGTCCTTTGGACAAGCAACAATTTTTAATTATGTATAATTGTAATATTCAGATAGGATATATAGTATTCAACCAATTAAGTTACCAAACACAATAATAAATAAACCTTTACTTTCTACAACCATTTTCTAGCCTAGTTCACTAACATTCTTTAACTTATTAAGTAACTAATATCTACTATACTAATAAGAGCCAATGAGAGTTAGGCATATAATCGATAGAAAAAACGACGGTCAAATTTTTTAATCAAATGAATAGCTCAGATTGATCATATCTTAATTTTTTCTTGAGATTTCTTAATTTATCCTTAATTATATGAACAGATACTACAATGTAATAGAGCCAGTAACTTTCAAAAAAAAAAAATATGATTATCCGTTAACTTACTCATTAATTTTAATAAGAAAGGTCTTAAGTTTGAACCCCATCCCAATCAAAGTTGGCATAATTAGTACTCTATTTTACTCTTATTAAATTATAAATAATAATTTAGTAGCTACAGTAAAAAATAATACATATGCATTTCTTTAATTTATAATTATGTGTCTACAATGCCTTTATTCAAAAAATTTATTCATTATCAATAAATTAAATAAGAGAAATAATTTCATTAGTTATATTGTCTTTATTTTTCTCCAATATAAAAATTCTTTACATTCAAATTCATCAATTGATTATATTCGCTACATTGTCCCTACAACGTCTTTATTCAAAAAAAAAAATATTCATTATCAATAAATTAATTAAGATAAATAATTTCATTAGTTATATTGTCTTTATTTTTCTCCAATGTAAAAATTCTTTACATTCAAATTCATCAATTGATTGTATTCACTACATTGTCTATTATCTTTTTTGTGCACTATTTTTTAATTAAATATCAAAGTTATAATACAAAATAATGTTATATATTTATTTACCAAGTATTTTATTAATACTATGTAAAAATTTAAAAAATATAATTAATAAAGTCAATCATATTAACTACTTTGAGGGATTTGTTGACAAAGAGAGTACGTATTCAAATCACACAACAAATTGAAGTGGAAAACTACCTAGCAATGTCCTTGTTTGACAATAAGAAGTTAGCGGTTAGCGTTAGCGGATTTGACTAGCGAATTATATCAATGATGGGTAAAAAGATATTTGAAAAAATTAGCTGTTTAGATTAACATGTAAAATGATCTAAGAGTATACATAATAATAATAATAATAATAATAATAATAATAATAATAATAATAATAATAATAATAATAATAATAATAATAATAGTAATTGTTTTAAAAAATAAAAATAGAAATAAAAATAATAATTTAATAAAAGAAATAAATTTTTAAAATAAAAAATAAAACATATGGGGGGCCGAACATTCGACTCTCCTTAGTTTTGCCACTTTTTTCACATCGGTGGGAAAAGTGGCATGGGAACCTTGAGGCTTCTATAAAAGGAGCCTTTAAGGCTCCAATTTAAAAATCAAGCTTGCCCATCCGTTGATGGGCAAGCAGTGAGCTGGCGAAACTGGCTCTTGTTATTCAAGGAGTCGAAATGATTCTACAATAAACTTTTTTATTTTTATTATTATTTTTTAAATATAAAGGTTTTTTGGGGAAATCATTCTAAACGCTAAGTGAAAATATTGTAAATTGCAATGTTTGTATTTTCAGTGGTTTGGAACAAATTGTTATTCAAACTGTTGAATAACCAAACACTTTCTTTAGCATTTTGATCTTTGGGTTACATCATATTTACCAATTGTCCAATATCTTTAGGTTACATTATAATTAAAAATTTTAAATTTTTACTACATCTAAATTCCTTAAATTAGAAATTTCTTTATCCATAATAATTTATTCAACAATTATGGTTTAACTAAATGCAGGGATTGAGCTAGGAATTTTGTTGAGAGGGAGCGAAAAAGCAGGGACGGATCCATCAATTTTTTCGAGTGAAGGCGAAACACTAAAACAAAAGAGATAATTTTTTTTAAAAAAAATTACCCATGAAATATAGGTATAAATATTGTTGGATATGAGCGAAAAATAAAACACATCGAAATTTTATTAAAAATATTCATAACAAAATATGAAACATAATTAATTTGATAAAATAATTTGAATAGAGAACACATTATAAATTACACATCTCATTTTTAATATAAAAGAATGTTATATATGTGTATGTGTGTGTGTGTGTATTTTATTAAATATTAAAAAAGCTATTAACAATGTGATTGTGTTGAAGCCAAAAGAAACTATAAAACTATGTTAATGCCAACAAAGAATTTGAACTCTAAACCTTCACTATAACCAAACATATGCTTTGCCAACTAATCCATCTCACTTCTTGTTAACATTTATCTGTTTCTTTATACTAATACTAAAACATGTACTATATATACATATATACATACAACTATTATATATGGGGTGGAGGTAGGGGAGGGTGCAGCCCCCCCCCCACCCTGGCTCCGTCCATGACTAAATGAACACTGAGGAAAACACCGAAAGGACGGGTACCGTTGATTCATTCATTAATCTTGTATATATGTGCATTCATTAAATATATTAGAAATCTTTGCAACAAAAATACTTGATTACTATTTAAAAAAAGCTTAGTAACAATTATAATGAATCTCCTATATTACATTGTATTCATATACTATGAGTTAATATTTAAATAAATAAATTCGACATTAAATTATTTATGTATGAACTTCTCATATATAATTTTGCATTGATATATTTTCAAATATTTATTTAATTATAAATATTGGGCATTAACTCGTTCACACAATGCTTGTGTAAAACTAGTAATCATATAAAACACATTGTTTAATACAAAAATATTAGTAAATTTAAGAATTTTCCATAAACAAACTACAATACAATTTATACAAATTTATCACAAGTAACTTTATTGGTTGTGTAGTTCAAAATATTCGAGTTTAAAACTTCCAACATTCACTTTTAATTTATATAATTTTATTATTTGTATATGTTAAGGTAAGGTTTAGGATACAAACAGGACATGGGATAATCTTAACCAAATTATTAAAGAATTGATTTAGTAATGACAATGTTCCAATTTAATTTATTGCGGGCGCAACTAATCGGGCTTCTTGATTTGACTAGTCGATTAAGTCACAAAGCGAGTTACATTTCACTGGCCTAGAGAACACATATTCAGGCAAAGGATACAAATTTTTTCATAAATCAAAGATACAAATTATATTCTCCCAAAATTTAGTGTAGTGGTTCGTCCTCTGGCTTAATATCATGACTCAAGGCAACAGTGAAAACATGAATGAGAAAAGTGTTCAGGATGATAGAAGATGTGGAGGAAGAATAGGGTTTGACCGATGAGTTGATTATATGACTTGACTCTAGGGGCGGGATCCTGAAGACTTAGAATTAGTCCAACAAAATTGAGTTCACCTAAGTATATAATAAAAAAAATACAAATTGTAGACATTATGTGTATAATAAACTCCACATGGGTGGTAGATGGTATGTTCCAAACTTCTATATTGTTCTTGTACTGTGAAGTCTTTTTCAAAAACGTGGATATAACATTTTCCAAAACGCAACTAAAAGGCAATTTATATCATAGACCGGGGTCCACATAGCATTATGAATCATGAATTAAAACAATAAAATATAAAATTTATACTCGTAATTTTAGGTACAGAGTTTCATAACATGAAACACAAAAAATCAAAATATAAGACACATACCATATGATTATAGATCCAGCTGGACAGAAAAGACGAGATACAAAATTTCATAACACAAGACATAAAAAAAATCATAACACAAGATCAGACATATACACCTGTTATATATTTACTTATTTTTCAAATCTGATTTAGGTACATAATTAGTGTTCATAGGCGCAAAATTTCACAACACAAGACACATAAATTCATAACATAAAACACAATTACTAATTTATTCCATATATAAAATACATACTTATAAGGTACAGAATCTCATAACGTAAAACACAAAAAGTCATAACACAAAACACAAACACATAAATCAGAATCCATTATACAGTGTTAATTCTGGGCCATGGTACAACGATTGCGCAATTAATATGAAATGATAACCTCGACCCTCGAGGGGCACGAGGTTAGCACAAAGTTAGTAGTTAGCCACTTAGCCCATGCGTCCCTCGCGAGGAAAAATGCATTAATTGTTTTATCATAGTATGTACTATATAAATCCTCTCCTTATGCTCTTCTCTTCACATTAAAGAAACCAACAAAAATCTTTATCATTTCTCTTGATAACATTTTTTTTCTATATCATACCAATCCTTTGAAATGGGAAACACCCAGACAACCCCATCAGCCCCATCCTCCGCCGCCAATCCCGCCACCGGAGAGTACAATGCTGCGTCCATCCCTCCCGGCGGCGTTATCACCATCCTTAGCATTGACGGAGGTGGCATCCGTGGCATCATCCCCGGCACCATTGTCGCTTACCTTGAAGAGGAGCTTCAAGTATGATATTCACTCTTTTTGCAATATCTATACATACATAAACCCTCCGGGTTGTCTGCTGATTGGCTCAAACCAAGAAAGCTTATAGGCGGCTTCCAGTTGTAACCTTATAGTTAGTAGTAAGTCAATAGGCGGACAGACTTAGTTGGGGTTATCTGGATTTAATAAATTTTATTTTTGTGTGTGACGGATCAGGCTTTGGACGGTCCGGATGCAAGAGCAGCGGACTACTTCGATGTGATTGCCGGAACGAGCACCGGAGGGCTGATGACCACCATGTTATCGGCGCCGGACAAGAACAAGCGCCCCCTCTACGCCGGCAAGGATATTGTCCCTTTCTACAAGGAGCACGGACCAAAGATCTTCCCATCAGCGTAAGCGCCGCCTCGATCCTCGGGCATATTCTTCCTAGTTATATTTTTGGACGAGTTTAATGATTCTTCATGCGTGGGATAATGTTCTTACAGAGGAATATTTGAGGTGGTGAGAGACGCAACCAGCCTGTTGGCCGGTCCCAAGTACGACGGCAAATACCTTCACCAAGTCCTCCAGGACCAATTGGGAGAAACTCGGTTGAGCCAAACTTTGACGCACATTGTCATCCCTGCCTTTGATATCAAGACCTTCCAACCCACAGTTTTCACCACTTGCGATGTATGTATATATATATCCTTAACTTCTCCAAACATTATACATGCATAAAGAATATTCTAACATGCATGTACATACAGGTTAAGGATTCCCCCGAAAAGAATGCTAAGTTGTCAGACATATGCATTGCCACCTCCGCAGCTCCCACGTACCTCCCCGGCCATTACTTTGACACCGCCGATGCTAAGGGCGGAAAGGTCGAGTACAACCTCATTGACGGAGGTGTAGCTGCAAACAATCCGGTATGTATCCTCGTACTTGATCATTAAAACCATGTATCCTCGTACTTGATCATTAGAGTGTAACATTTTTGTGTTTTAATGTATATAAAACAGACTCTTATTGCGATTAGCACGGTGACGCAAAGGATGGTGGCTAAGGATCCAAAATACTTGACATCATCAACTTCGTCGAAGGAGGCAGTTGGGTGCCACCGGTTCTTGATATTGTCGATCGGCACCGGCAATTCAAAATATGCTGATAAGTACACGGCGCAACAGGCGGCGACATGGGGTGTTTTGGGGTGGCTGGCCCAAGGAGACGGCAACCCTTTGATTGATGTATTCTCCGTTGCAAGTGCGGACATGGTGGATTATCATATCGCCACCATTTTCCAGGCTCTTCAAGCCGGAGATAACTATCTCCGCATCCAGGTACTTGTTGAACATATAACCATTAATGTGCAATCCAATTATCAGCTTAGCCTTTTAGTTGAGATGAAGTACATGCTTCAATTGTACTAACTCAGATCAATTATTCAACCTTTTAGCATTGAATTCAACTTTTTAGCGGTTGATTTAACTCATAATTCAGTATATATATAATTGGTTAATGTAAAAATGGTGCAGGAGGACGATTTAAAAGGGTCGACAGCCTCGGTTGATGTTACGACAAAAGAAAATTTGGATGCACTTGAAGAGGTTGGCAAGAAGTTGTTGACGAAACCGGTTTTGAAGCTGAATCTGTTGACAGGGAAGAATGAACCGGTCCCCAAAGCTGGAACAAACAAAGATGCTCTGAAAAGGTACCAACTTTCATTTCTTCACTACAGAATTGCAAATTAAAACATTAGTACAGTTCTATGTGTATGATGATATGTTTTAATTTGATGATGGGATTTGGGATTTGATGGCTTTCAGGTTGGCCGGTTTGCTGTCGGAGGAGAGGAGGCGCCGTACAATCGCGGCACTTAACGGCGGCAAGTAGTTAAGTTACGGTGTTGATCAACATTGAGATCATATGTATCGTGTGTCTTTAATTTCTGCTACTTGAATTATTGAATAAGGCACATATCCTTCGACATGAAAAAGGTTGTGCCATTGGGATTGGTTACATATGTATGCTTGTGTATTTTGTATAAACTAGTAAGTGTCCCGTGCTATGTATGGACTATTATTAATGTAATAAATGATTAAATTATGTACACGTACTTTTGGTCCTATGACTATAGGGAGCGTATTAATTTCGCTCCATGCTTTTAAAACTAACAATTTAGTCCTTTAACTATGCATTTTTTAGTAGATTTGGTCCTTCCGGCCAAATCACCAGTGAAAATTGGCTGAAAAAACTAAAACCTTTTAAAAAATTTTATTCATGAGGGTAAAATGGTCTTTTTACATAAGCTACTTCTTCTTTTTCGCGTTAATGAGCTACGGCTAACCGTTGCCTCTTCTTCCAAGAATGAACAGCTCCAAGAATCGAAGCCCAGGTTCAGAAGCAAGGTATGATTTTTATCCTCAGCTTTTTCTTCATGTCTACTGCGCATTAATTCATCTTTCCCATATCGCACGGTATAAAGCTCTATAAGAGATCTAAACTCCCAGAAATATTCTCTCCCTATTCTAGCCACAACCATCCTCCCAATTCCATCCACGACCAAAACATAATTGTAGTATTGGTTGTGGTCATGTGGATGAAGGTTTATTTATAGTATTGAAGTAGGTGTAGATGTTCATGTAAATATTGATTCTAAATTTTAAATTTATCTCCAATCAATTAATGTTAGAAACATAATATAATTATTGCAATGTTAATTCTCAATTAGGGATCAACCATTATTACTCAAATTAACTTTGAAAATTACTCTCCTATCCACTAAAATCTCTTTGCTTATATTATTCACTTTGATTTTGTTTTCATCTTTATTTAATTATTTATGATGATTATGATTAGGGAAAATTTTGCTTATATATATATATATATATATATATATATATATATATATATATATATATATATATATATAGAGGGACAGAGAGAGAGGGAGAGAGAGAAGAGATAGAGATTTTTCCCTAATCATTTTGCTTTAATATATATATAATGCCGCAACTCAGCTGTGTGAAAGGGATGTTTAATGCGGCCAGCCGACGTCCGGAGAGGGGCTGCAACATCCATGCAGGCTTACAGCGTTGCGCATCACCGCCAAGCACAGCAGGCTCCGACACCATCTGCTGGAACGGAGACGCACAACAATCTAAGGTGCTATGTGGACGCGGGTTTTCGGCAGGACACCGGTGACGCCACATACGGCATTGTGTTAATTTCACCAGAGGGCTCTTTCATAGCAGCAAAAAATGGCAAATTACCATTTTGTTTCTCACCACTTATGACGGAGGCGCAAGCTTATAAGGAAGCGCTATCTTGGCTACTAGAAAGGAACATCACAACAGTATGTCTTCGCCCGGATTGCATGGTATTACGAGGTGCTTTGCAGCAGCATAACACACCAATCTACTCTTATGTTGGGGTCATGATTGATCAATGCAGAACAATTATGTCTTTATGTTGATGTTGATTTAATTTGTAATTAGAATTTCATGAATTTATAAAGTAATGTGAATACAATAAATGCTTTCACACTTTAGAGGGAAAAAAATTCCCCTAATCATTTTGCTTTAATATATATAGAGATAGAGATAGCTGTACTTTGTAATATTCAGATAGAATAAAGTATTCAACCAAGTTACCAAACATAATAATAAAAAAACACTTTAAATATGTTGTGATAATATTAGTGCCAAATACATGATAATAACATTCAATTAGGGGGTGTATTCAATCATGACTTTCATAGAGTTTTAAAGACTTTTATAAACTTTAAAAGTTTGGAGGTATTCAATTCAAACTTTTAGAGAGCTTTTAAAAGTCTGGCGGTATTCAATCAAGATGTTTAAAGTGTATTTAAAAGTCGTGTGGTATTCGATTAAGACCTTTAAAGAGTCTAAGTCATGTGGTATTCAAAAAGTTATGAACTTTTGTAGACTTTTTAATTTCAAGACTTTTGTAGACTTTTCCTTCTCAATATAAATAGTTGAAATCCAACCATCAACCCCAAGATTTCAAAATTTTATTTCTAACAACTTTGAATGTATTCTCTCTATTTAAACTCTATTTTTCTCACTATTTAAACTTTATAAACCTATCTAAATTCAATAAAATTATTTTTTTCTTCATTATCCTATATTTTCCTCATACCTAAATTCTACTAATTTTTCTCTCTCAACTTTACAATCTTCATCTAAAAATTCAAAATAATATTATTTTTACTTCATTATTGCTTGTTTATATTGATTTTTATTTTTTTCTATGAATTTTTATCCCTAACTTTCTCTAATTATCCCTAAATACATGAACAAAGCAAAATTTTCATCGTCAAATTTTAGTATATGTTTCATAATATTCATATAAATACTTATATACTTTGATTTTTATTCTTTTTAGGTTTATACTCGTTTATATATTTTTCCTTTTTTTAATAACAGGTTACTACGAATAACGAACTACTATTCGCAACAATAATTTGGGGTTGCAAACAGTAGTACCATGTTGTTGTTCGCAGTTTCAAATTGTTATTGCAAATAATAGTACTTTGTGTGATGCCTAGCAATATATCAAGTATAATTTTTTATATATATTATTAATATTAGATTTTTATTTTATTTATTTTATGCAACTTGTAATTATATTTTTAAATATTTTATTTGATCAATTCTTTTATTATAAATTTTATTGTTCAATATTGTTATGAATTTCTAATGAAATAGTTTTTATTTTTTTTTTGTTGATGTTTATTAATAATATATATAAGTAATTAGCATATAAATCTCAGCATACTATGGATAAAAATAATAATGTTGAGAATGTTAATGTGGGTGAAGAACTATATAATAATAAGAAGAATTTTATGATATATTAAAAATGTTTTGTAAGAAAATTATAAATAATAAGAATCAAAATCATTGAATGTTTGTAAGGATGTATTCAATTTAAAATTTCAATGACTTTAGTAGACTTTTTAAAATAAAAAATTAATAAAAGTCTATGAATGTTTTTTATATAGACTTTTATAGAGTCTTATAAAATTTTAAAAAGTTTTGAACGACTTTATGAAAGTCAATCAAAGTTTATTAAAACCTATCATTTTAAAAGTCTTTAAAACTCTACAAAAGTCATGATTGAATACACCCCCTTAGTATTCATGAACAAAACACAATAATATTGACTTTAATTTCAAGTTGATACATAATATATTATCATAAGAAGACAAATTATAATATAATATGTTTCATTAATAATTATAAGTTAGATCAAAAGAAAAGAAATCATAGTACCGAATTGATGGGGCCTAGAGCTCGAACTCAAAGAGCACAAGAGCAATTCATATTGAGCCTGAAGGCATGAGGGGGAAAAAAAGGAATTTAGACAAGAATTGAGTTAAATTCAAGGTTGTTGTGCAAAGGCATGAGGGGGAAGGACAACACTCGATGCAGGAGTCGGGATAGGACTAAGGGTGTGTTTGGTTCGCACATGGGAATCAGAAACGGAATGGATATTAAATACTTGGTAATGGTAATGGGTTTTGATGAAAGTATTTAACATGTTTGGTAGTACGGTGGAATGAGAATGGTTATTAATAGTAGTGCTTGAGAATAAATAAGAGAATGAAACTCTTATTTTATTTGGGTATGAGTTTTTCAGTTAATGTATTGAACACCATGAACTCTTCAATGGTTACTGTATTGAACACCATGAGCTGTTCTTATAAATACATATATTAATTAATTCGTGAATAGTGAATTCACGATGTTATTAAATTATTATTAATTAATTTATGAATAGTCAATGAATATACATAATTACATAAACGGGTTCTTTGGACAAGCCTATATAAAAGTATAAAACACATTGCTTAATACTCTTACTTTGCTCCTTTGGACAAGCAACAATTTTTAATTATGTATAAATAGCTCGTACTTTGTAATATTCAGATAGAATATATAGTATATATTCAACCAAGTTACCAAACACACTAATAAAACAACCTTTACTTTCTAGTTTCTACAACCATTTTCTAGCCTAGTTCACTAACAATCTTTAAATTACTAAGTAACTAATATAATAATAGTATTAAGTGCCATTCCGCACCATGAACTAATAGCGATTCTTTATGTCACATCCTGATCTTTCATATCTAATATTTCGATACACAAATCATAAAATTTTGTTTGTCTAGACTTTTTAGCAGGTTTTTTTAAGTTGCAGGTTATAATATGTTGATGTGGAGATTTTTTTTATTGACATATTTAAATAAGTATTAAAAATATGACATGGCATTCATTTCGGCTTGACTTTTCAATTCTCTGTCTCAACATTCTTGTCACCGATTTTACTGTGAAAATTGAGTTCTTGCAATGATATATCCTGAGAAGCTGGAGGAATGCTTCGTTAAGCTTTTCGCCGAGATGAGCTTTGAAGCTCCGGTTATGGGTTTTTGAGGAAGAAGCTAGCTAGCGTGTCTGTGGGTGAATCGAAACTCTGCCACAACGTTGTTGTCTGGTCTTTGAGAATAAGCTACTCCCTATAGCTGCCGCCGACAAAAGGTTACCATGGCCCAGATCGAAAATCAGCATCTTTTTCTTGCTGGAGCTGCTGGACTCGAAATAAGGCTTACATGGACCCGGAAATAAGGTCAAATATAAATATAAAACCATGTCACTAAAAAAGAAGGCCAAATCACCTTATTACCGGCTCCATGTCAGTAGGGCAACGTGGAAACCTATTAAAAAGTATAGACAAATAAAATTTTATAGTTTGTGCATCGAAATAGCAGATTTGAAAGGTTAGGTGCGGCATGAAGAATCGCTATTGGTTCATGATGCGGAATGACACTTGAGCCATAATAATATTTTTTTTTTTTTTGAAAGAAAGAGCCACAATAATATAAAACACATTGTTTAATACTCCCTCCGTCCCATTTTATGTGTCTGGTTCGATTAACGAGGCCTGACTGAAGTTATTTTTAATACAATTTTTCATAATATTAAGTTTAGTATTAGTATACAAAATTTATATATTTAGAAACTACACTAAAAACACTATTAAACACAAAAAATCAAATTTAAAAATAAGTAAAAAAAAATACTAAAGAAA